GGTAAATTTTTTGTAAAAAAAGTTGGAGACAGATTCTGAATTCACAATAGAGACTAGAAATGCATCAGGGCTGCAGAATCCCATATCTTATATATAAAGCTGAATGTCTGTTTGTCTGTCTGTCTGTCTGTCTGTCTGTCTGTCTGTCTGTCTGTCTGTCTGTCTGTATGTCTGTGTGTACGTATGTTCCGAATAGAAAATTCCATTTCTTAACCGATCCGGATCAAACTTAGTACACATACACTTCGGGCCCCGGCGGGTGTCATAGGCTACTTTTCGTCATCGATCCATATCGATTTTATCGATTTTTTGCAAAATTTGAGCTACGGGGCTGAGAGTTGGCACAGGGGGGTAATCGGCTCGATTACACCCCTCTGCCAAATTCCAGCCCCCTAGCTCAAATTTTGCAAAAAATCGATAAAATCGACATCGATCGATAACGAAAAGTGGACTGTGACATCCGCCGGGGCCCGAAGTGTATGTGTACCAAGTTTGATCCGGATCGGTTAAGAAATGGAATTTTCTATTCGGAACATACGGCGGAGCCGGGTAAGCCAGCTAGTAGTTTACATGTTCAGATGATTTTCTGGCAGCTTTTTTCGTAATGAAGGAGAGTCGAGGCATCTGTCAAAGATACCAACTAGCGGAAATTTGCCTCAAATTGCAGGGTTTTTTACGCGGAGACCCTGAGCGGTGGGTCCGCATGCATCAGCATGTAAACCGATGCGAGTCCTTCGGCAAGTATAGGGTGTTTGGGAATTACGTGCCTAAAGTATTTCCAGTTCGAATTTTGACGCGCTTTTTGCTTTATTGTGCTCATCGGCCTAGACATTAATTCAGTGAAAATCGGGTTTTTTGCAGTTTCTTTGATTTCTCATAAGATTGAAACACATTAATGTAGCTTTCCTGCCTCTTTCTTTGTAACGCTTGTTACAAAAAAAGGTAACATATTTCCCAGAGAGCTTGGTATAATTTCCAAAGCCCCTTTTTTGAGGTTTCTCACACGTGCTCTTATTTTTGTAGAAGTAAGTTCGTTTTGAATTACCTTGGAATGGCAAAAGATTCAAATTCAGGATCTTTTCAGTTAAAAATCCAGCACCTGAATTTTTATATTTTATCCTCAAAACCATTACCAGCCATTACCATTACCAAATCGACTTCGAAGTACTTGAGGCCAAAACTTTTCAAACACCCTCTATGGTAGCTGGTCTGCTTTGGGGGCAAATATCACGACCGCTCCAGGTGCGATCTCCGTGCACCCTGAATTACCTGAACGATGCCTTTGAGCAGTCGTGACAATTAGTCTGTTAGAAGCTCAAATGGACAAGCGCTGTCGATTGAGAAGTGTCAAGTTGAGTGAATAGTGAGTTTGAAAAGTGACTAGGCAATTACGCTTTAGATTGCTTCTCAGTACGGACACTACAAATATCCAAACAATTATTCTTTTCGCAGCATCACTAGTCATCGTTAATTTTGACTATTTTGACTGACAGGCATGGTATAAGAGACGTAGCCATGTTCAGAAGCAATAGGTTCTCGATGATGTTGTACTTCAGCGCCGTCCTTCAACAGTAGAGTAAAGCTATAGTATGCAAATGACATGATGCAGCTAAAAGTGGTGGCTGGTTTGTTTACCTTCACCCTGTGGCACTTAACTAAGCGATAATTTACACCATTAGAGCGGGATACTAATCCTGCTGCTGTAACCATTTGTCACTGTCGACGCTATTTCCTTTGGTGTAAAGCACATTGTTATCTCCCAAAGACCATGGCCCATAGTAAACTACCGTCAGGGCATCTCCCCTGAGGCGGACCGGAGTTGATATCTTGGCGCCTCAGTCCAGCATCCGGCGGGCTATTGATCTAGATGCAGATCGCTTCCTGGACATTGTAATCAAGTGCGTTCTTGAAAAAAGAACCACTCGAGCTGGTTTGGTTAAATGGGTAAGCCATTGGAATTACACGCGCGCGGCCGTGGTTCAATTCCGCCTAGCGACACAACTTTTGCTGCATCGCCGGGCAATCTTTGATAGCGGCCACTATCCAATCGATGATGACCGCTATCAAGGATTTCGCCTAGCAAACGTAAAGATAAAACAAAAAACATTTCGTTACGAAAATTTTGCGACAAAATGAAATGGTTGCAACGTGAATTTAATAAAATGAACAGCTGAGTCCTCGTTTTGGACAGCTTCAAAAAAAAACCAGTAAAGTTTACAAAAAAGAGAAAAATTTGTCTTTTTCTGTCTTCCTCGCCAAAATCAGCTGTTCATCGATCCTCTCCTTTTCTGGCGCGGTTGTGCAGTTTTGCGCCGATTTTGTCCGCAGTGTTAGGCAAATTGCTGTGTATCGTAAGTTACTCAGGAGCAACTTACGAAGATTTTTTCTGCGTTTCCTCTTTAGCACACTATTTTGGACATCATCGCTCATATCATCTCCCATGACCCGGCAGGGGAGATCATCTCCCTGCCGAACTTCACCTGAGGCTCACCTCTCAGGTGACCTTGCATCCCTATAGCATGGGGATATGGGCGGTCGTCATTTTACTGGCAAAACCTCACATGAAGGTCTCAGGGGAGATCATCTCCCATGATCGAGCTTTACTACGGGCCCATATGTTCCAAATGTGACATGCAAGAATTAGCACCGCAAATAGTGACTGCTCATTTGATGAGCTGATCCTGCGCACCTTGAATTACTGTTGACGTTTTAGCCGATTTTCAAATTTTATTCAATAAGCATATAATCATAAAAGATCTTGTGATGAGATCTTTGATTTTTAAGGCAAGGTTCTTTCAATCAAAAGCGATAGTTAGTTTTGATTTTCCCTAATATTCCTACAGCTTCAAGCATTACACCACGCTCACTAATAATGAAATCACAAATGCGCCTAAGCATGAACAGAATTATATAAGCTTATCTCTGTCATCGGAATGATAGCGATTCATATTCGGATGCAAGTTCCCGAAACTGACTTCATAAGGTATAAGCCGTGAATTAATGTGATCCACTAGATTTAAGAAATGAGAGTCAGCTTACTGCACAGCACGAGGCGCACACACGCACGAATGACCACACATCAAATACTTTCCTTGGTGAAATTCATTAAATGCTAATTTTGATGTTTTTTATTGAAAGAAATTGTTTGCGATTTTTTCAATTTATTGGCACAAAAGCGGAAAAAAATTTATAGCAAGTCTTGTGTTAATGTTACGAAGCGTTTAAGCAATCCAACTATTGGTCCAACTAATTGTCTAGGTATAAGATTTCAGCAAGAGGCTTCATACTGACAGATAGGAGAAATGCGTCCTTCTTTAGCACAGCACGGTCGTTTTATGATATCGTGATATTTCCAACCTGTATAGTTCTAAGCTTTTGGTGTACTATGATAGTAACTTTCATTGAAAGGAAGTCCGTATAAATTATTTGGAAAGTCTTGCGATAAAATTGAAAAAAAAACATGATATGACATACAGTACAGTGAACAGAGTGGCCAAATATGATACTCAAAAAATTTGCATCCAGCTGCGCTGTATACAGGGATTTTTACTGTCCGTTTGCTTCTGTTGTTGTTTCCGTTTTTGGGATTACGGTTTGAGTGCTAGCAGCCGCAGCTGCACTTACTTCCACAGTCACAATATCGGTTACGATTTCTGCAGCGATCGATGTGCTAGCAGGAAAGAGTTTAGTGCTTGCATCCGTTTCTGCTCAAGTAATAGATTCCGATTCCGTGGTGATTCCAGCAATCGAAGTGGTAACTGTGACACCTTTAGTAGCAATACGATCTGATGTAGTCACAATAGCAGCTTGTATACTTGGTTGTTCATACACTGAGACATTGTAGTAGTCGAAGTTGGGCGAAGTGGACAGATAGTATGATGATGGTGCCCGTGCTTATGATAGTGACGCTAGAAAATATGATCAGGAAGATTGAGGATGATAAGATATCAAAGAAAGCCTACCTTGTTTTTGAAATCGTCTTCACTGCTGGAACTGGGACTTCCTCTGTGATGAGGTTTTGTGAAGGCAACGACAACGAAAGCAAAGATAAGTGCGGTAGAGAAATTCATAATGGAACGAGTTGACTTCATGGTCTTTCCTTTTATACAGTACACTTGTACGCTTATCAGTGCTCGAGACGCCTACGAAGGTGACGCCACCCCAATGTTGTTCTGCAAATAGCTAACAGCCGTCATCGCTTCTTGCTTATTTTTAGCTGAAACCTTAAAACTTGTACAGAAATCAGCACTCATATTTGCATCAATGAGTACGCTAAGCATTGTGTAGCATTCGAAGTCCCACACTACTGACACTTACTAGATGTTGTTACACATACTAATAAGAGATTCTCACGAAAACTTATTTGGCTTGATGGAATGCAACAGATTTTTTTGTACATGGTCTGATCGTGCTTTTGTCTAACTCCCTATTAGAATTTCCATGGCTACAAAGAAATCGAGAAACTAGTTGTTGTGGTTAAGGCAACGCTCCGAAGAGAATTTGTTCATTAAAAATCGTGTCTGAGAAGTATGAAAAGTCCAAATAAGTGCGAATGGCTTTTGTGCATGTGTTAGGCTATCACAGAAAGGGAAATGATAATACGCCAGCATAACTCTTCTGGTGTAAAACACAAACAGATGGAAAGGAGACTAGTGAAGATCGCTCTAACTTGGTCACAGTCATAATCAATTTCACTGTCTGAAAGTTGTAGACCAACATTACGCGAAAACCAAGCTGAGGAGAATATAACTTTTACTCACGCAGTTGTTAGTGAAGAAAATGCAATTAAGGTCTACTCCACTTATTCCTAGATAGAAAATCTTTTCACTTCCAAAGCGACTGATTTATGCTAATTCAGTTTCCACATAAGCGACTTCTACGAAACGCTGCATTGTAGCACAACAAAATCTCTTTATTTTGCATGATTAGACAGTACCTAGTACAAACTCCCGTTCGTAAAACTGCTCGCAAGCCAACCTGTAGTGCAAAAACACATTTTCGGGAGTCAAAAATTTAATCAGAAATTGTTTACATAAGAGCAAAGAGGAAAGGTGAGGATGCAATATAATATACAAGCACATCAAATTGTTTTAAGCTGCAAGATTGGCATTTGGTGGCCTTGCAGCACCACCCGCGCTCATGGCAACTTGTCCAGTAGTGTCCGTTAGACCTGTAATACTTGTAGAAGCTTCAATCAGCCCTATGATGGAATACCTGGGTGATTAAGGCGCTCATGTTCAAATGTTCCATGCGCAGTGTGTCCCTATAACGGTGCTGTTCTGAGACAGAGAAGATATTTAATAGCTTACCGTTTCATCACCAGTGTAGTCAATATCGGCAAGCTGTGACTTTGCGAAGGCAATCAAGAAGTAGACTAGAATTAGGATTGTAAATCTCATTGTTAGACTGGTGCTGACGGTCTAAGCATGCCCTTTTATGGCCATTTTGTATCCTCACTGATGTCATCCACCTAAAATCATTACATTACTCATGGATCAATTTTCAAAGCAAATGTATTGATGAAGTACTATCAGCCGTGAGTCAACTGACTGCAAAGTTCTTTTCCAACTTTGTTAAGAAGATATGTATGACATCATTTTCTTACATTTTGATGAAAGGTTGCGGTTTTATGGGACACCATGATGACTACTAATTCTTTAGGCAATGGTTTACATTTCTGCACGTAATTTTTATCAAAGCATGAGAGAAAGTTTTCTTGTCACTATGAGGAGCAGCAATTTTCCTCTAAAAGTTTGACGAACATCCACAACTGTTTTCATAAATTAAACACTTATATCAGTGTATATAAAACTGATCTTGAAGTGTTCATCTGTTGATGAATCTTGGTATGTTGGGAATGTCTTGTGCTGCTTCGTTGGGTAATCAAGATTGGTAAGCAAGATTGGTAAGCAATGTCTATTGCACAAGGTTCCTCCTTTTCCAGAGTCCAAGGAAGTCAAAGCACACCAGCAACCTATCCAACCAAACAATCATCGGTTACATAGACGTCCATTTTCTAAGCATTCGGTCAGGAGTGATTCATTTTTTGCGATAGATGAGCATATCGCAACTTCAAAAATTGAAGGACTTCTTATAAAGCTCCAGTGACCAGCGGATTGTATGCATTTTTAGCAAAAACTTGGAAGACCTGCAAACAATTCAATATGAAGAAGAGGTATACTGGATCTGTCAATCTGTTCACAGAGCCGTTGTAATCTCAATTTGTGGACTTTAGTTCAGCAAGACATAGTAGGGAAACTTTCCGAGGATTAGTGGGTCAACTTTGCTTCGCAGCTGATCTTGTATCGAAATCACAAATGTATTAGGATTCTTATAAGTTTTTTTTTTCAATTTTGACTTCTTACCGCGATAAATCTCACATTTCTCACTTCCAATTAGGATGCAGGGTATATTATGGAAAGAGGCAGTACGTTCACGACCACCATTAAAGCTTTGCATCTCACACTTTTTTCACGATGGCATATTACTGTATGAAGTAGCGCTCGAATATATTGGATCTGCTCTACGTAGAAACTCTCAAATTTGAAGGTGCATGGCGAGCAAGTGTCTTCTTTATGTTTATGGCTACTACTTCAAAACAGAATCCGATCCAATCAAGCCTTGAGAACCCTCCATGTGAAAGGCTCAAAGCATTCTTTCAAGTTAGAAATGCAAAAAAAAACATTTTGAAAAGCTTTTTGTTTTGTTGAATCTGCTAATCTATTACTCTTCATCATTAATGCTTATAGACATAACCTAACTAACAAGAGATGGTCAGAAATCGAAGTGAACAATCTAGGCAAGCTGTATACCATTGGATGCAGCATAGAATGCAGACCTTCTCAGACAGTCGACGGCATACCTCCGGAGCAGAAATGGCCGAGCCGCGGGGTTTCCCCAGCTGGGGATTGCCACTCCTGCTCCGGAGCCCTCCCATTTGTGCTCCGGAGCCCCCCCCCCCATTTTGTGCTCCGGAGACCTTCCATTTTGTGCTCCGGAGCCCCCCCACCCATTTTGTGCTCCGGAGACCTTCCATTTTGTGCTCCGGAAACCTCCCATTTGTGCTCCGGAGACCTCCCATTTTGTGCTCCGGAAACCTCCCATTTGTGCTCCGGAGACCTCCCATTTTGTGCTCCGGAAACCTCCCATTTGTGCTCCGGAGCCCCCCCCCCCCCATTTTGTGTTCCGGAGACCTTCCATTTTGTGCTCCGGAGACCTCCCATTTTGTGCTCCGGAAACCTCCCATTTGTGCTCCGAAGACCTCCCATTTTGTGCTCCGGAAACCTCCCATTTGTGCTCCGGAGCCCCCCCCCCCCATTTTGTGCTCCGGAGACCTTCCATTTTGTGCTCCGAAAACCTCCCATTTGTGCTCCGGAGACTCCCATTTTGTGCTCCGGAGACCTCCCATTTTGTGCTCCGGAAACCTCCCATTTGTGCTCCGGAGACCTCCCACTATGTGCTCCGGAAACCTCCCATTTGTGCTCTGGAGACCTCCCATTTTGGGCTCCGGAATCCTCCCATTTGTGCTCCGAAGACCTCCCATTTTGGGCTCCGGAATCCTCCCATTTGTGCTCCGGAGCCCCCCCCCCCCCATTTTGTGCTCCGGAGACCTTCCATTTTGTGCTCCGGAAACCTCCCATTTGTGCTCCGGAGACCACCCATTTTGTGCTCCGGAGACCTTCCATTTTGTGCTCCGGAAACCTCCCATTTGTGCTCCGGAGCCCCCCCCCCCATTTTGTGCTCCGGAGACCTTCCATTTTGTGCTCCGGAGCCCCCCCACCCATTTTGTGCTCCGGAGACCTTCCATTTTGTGCTCCGGAAACCTCCCATTTGTGCTCCGGAGACCTCCCATTTTGTGCTCCGGAAACCTCCCATTTGTGCTCCGGAGACCTCCCACTATGTGCTCCGGAAACCTCCCATTTGTGCTCCGGAGCCCCCCCCCATTTTGTGCTCCGGAAACCTCCCATTTGTGCTCCGAAGACCTCCCATTTTGTGCTCCGGAAACCTCCCATTTGTGCTCCGGAGCCCCCCCCCCCATTTTGTGCTCCGGAGACCTTCCATTTTGTGCTCCGGAAACCTCCCATTTGTGCTCCGGAGACCTCCCATTTTGTGCTCCGGAGACCTCCCATTTTGTGCTCCGGAAACCTCCCATTTGTGCTCCGGAGCCCCCCCCCCATTTTGTGCTCCGGAGACCTTCCATTTTGTGCTCCGGAAACCTCCCATTTGTGCTCCGGAGCCCCCCCCCCATTTTGTGTTCCGGAGACCTTCCATTTTGTGCTCCGGAGACCTCCCATTTTGTGCTCCGGAAACCTCCCATTTGTGCTCCGGAGACCTCCCATTTTGTGCTCCGGAAACCTCCCATTTGTGCTCCGGAGCCCCCCCCCCATTTTGTGTTCCGGAGACCTTCCATTTTGTGCTCCGGAGACCTCCCATTTTGTGCTCCGGAAACCTCCCATTTGTGCTCCGAAGACCTCCCATTTTGTGCTCCGGAAACCTCCCATTTGTGCTCCGGAGCCCCCCCCATTTTGTGCTCCGGAGACCTTCCATTTTGTGCTCCGAAAACCTCCCATTTGTGCTCCGGAGACTCCCATTTTGTGCTCCGGAGACCTCCCATTTTGTGCTCCGGAAACCTCCCATTTGTGCTCCGGAGACCTCCCACTATGTGCTCCGGAAACCTCCCATTTGTGCTCTGGAGACCTCCCATTTTGGGCTCCGGAATCCTCCCATTTGTGCTCCGAAGACCTCCCATTTTGGGCTCCGGAATCCTCCCATTTGTGCTCCGGAGCCCCCCCCCCCCCATTTTGTGCTCCGGAGACCTTCCATTTTGTGCTCCGGAAACCTCCCCATTTGTGCTCCGGAGACCACCCATTTTGTGCTCCGGAGACCTTCCATTTTGTGCTCCGGAAACCTCCCATTTGTGCTCCGGAGCCCCCCCCCCCCATTTTGTGCTCCGGAGACCTTCCATTTTGTGCTCCGGAGCCCCCCCACCCATTTTGTGCTCCGGAGACCTTCCATTTTGTGCTCCGGAAACCTCCCATTTGTGCTCCGGAGACCTCCCATTTTGTGCTCCGGAAACCTCCCATTTGTGCTCCGGAGACCTCCCACTATGTGCTCCGGAAACCTCCCATTTGTGCTCCGGAGCCCCCCCCCCCATTTTGTGCTCCGGAAACCTCCCATTTGTGCTCCGAAGACCTCCCATTTTGTGCTCCGGAAACCTCCCATTTGTGCTCCGGAGCCCCCCCCCCCATTTTGTGCTCCGGAGACCTTCCATTTTGTGCTCCGGAAACCTCCCATTTGTGCTCCGGAGACCTCCCATTTTGTGCTCCGGAGACCTCCCATTTTGTGCTCCGGAAACCTCCCATTTGTGCTCCGGAGCCCCCCCCCCCCATTTTGTGCTCCGGAGACCTTCCATTTTGTGCTCCGGAAACCTCCCATTTGTGCTCCGGAGCCCCCCCCCCCCCATTTTGTGTTCCGGAGACCTTCCATTTTGTGCTCCGGAGACCTCCCATTTTGTGCTCCGGAAACCTCCCATTTGTGCTCCGAAGACCTCCCATTTTGTGCTCCGGAAACCTCCCATTTGTGCTCTGGAGCCCCCCCCCCCCATTTTGTGCTCCGGAGACCTTCCATTTTGTGCTCCGGAGACCTCCCATTTTGTGCTCCGGAAACCTCCCATTTGTGCTCCGAAGACCTCCCATTTTGTGCTCCGGAAACCTCCCATTTGTGCTCCGGAGCCCCCCCCCCCATTTTGTGCTCCGGAGACCTTCCATTTTGTGCTCCGGAAACCTCCCATTTGTGCTCCGGAGACCTCCCATTTTGTGCTCCGGAGACCTCCCATTTTGTGCTCCGGAAACCTCCCATTTGTGCTCCGGAGCCCCCCCCCCCATTTTGTGTTCCGGAGACCTTCCATTTTGTGCTCCGGAGACCTCCCATTTTGTGCTCCGGAAACCTCCCATTTGTGCTCCGGAGACCTCCCATTTTGTGCACCGGAGACCTTCCATTTTGTGCTCTGGAAACCTCCCATTTGTGCTCCGGAGCCCCCCCCCCCCATTTTGTGCTCCGGAGACCTTCCATTTTGTGCTCCGGAGCCCCCCCCACCCATTTTGTGCTCCGGAGACCTTCCATTTTGTGCTCCGGAAACCTCCCATTTGTGCTCCGGAGACCTCCCATTTTGTGCTCCGGAAACCTCCCATTTGTGCTCCGGAGACCTCCCACTATGTGCTCCGGAAACCTCCCATTTGTGCTCTGGAGACCTCCCCATTTTGTGCTCCGGAAATCTCCCATTTGTGCTCCGAAGACCTCCCATTTTGTGCTCCGGAAACCTCCCATTTGTGCTCCGGAGCCCCCCCCCCATTTTGTGCTCCGGAAACCTCCCATTTGTGCTCCGAAGACCTCCCATTTTGTGCTCCGGAAAC